AGGCAAAGAAGAGCTGATCAGGCAGAGATGCTGTACAGGAACGCTGGTCCCTGGCCCCTGTGACAGGAAGGATCGGCAGGACAGAACCACTGCTTCCGTGGGCAGAAGGAGGTTGTATGCGCCTTAGAGAGTGAGACGGAGAGAGAGAGTCTGTTTGTTTTTATACTATATCTATATATACAGGGGATGCCATTGACAGCTCATTCGCAGATGACACCACTGAAGAATCTACCAGGCTCCCTTTTGTTCTGGTTTTCCTGTCTATGCTGCTTCTCTGCTGATCAGAAGACAGGGCCAGGCCAGTGGAGGTAACCTGAAATAGAGGGTATGAGGGGGAGAATGTTGTGAGTGGAGGAAGGGCAAGTAGCCCGGCCAAAAGCTCTCTGTCACAGGCTTCTCCCAGTTTGCTTTAAAATGGAAACGAATGCTTGGACTCAGCACAGTCCTTAGAAACCTCTCTTCCCCCCCTCAGTACTTTGTGTTTGTGAGGGCAGGAGGGATTAATATATATGATGTCTGTGGCTGACTTTACCTCAGGAACAACCCTTTTTATCTTTTGTGTGGTGTGAACTTGATTTCGCCTGTAATAGCCATCTTATCTTCCCCCTCCTTCTCCTGCCCCAAAAAGTGCAGCTTCAGTCATTGCAGAGTGTGCACAGGGAAAATATGATTGAACCTGGCTGTTTCTTCTCCATAGGGGAGAGAGAGAGAGAGAAAAAGAGAGAGAGAGAGAGAGAGAGGGTTTTGTCTGTTTTTTTTCTTTTTCATATTCGTTTCTCACGCTCTGATTGCCCTTATCTTACATTCTCATTGTCCTCATCTCCCATTTCTACCTTCCCTTTCTACTTCTGCCGCCCCCCCCCTTTTTGCCACTTTAAATGCCCTAGTTGTAGTTGTGTATATGCTCTTTGAGTACAAGGGCCAGTATTTTCTCCCTCACCTCCTCCTGTCTGATCATAACATGTGTGTTTTCCTCCTTAGGCCCTGAATCGCCTCACAGCAAGATGGCCTCTTCGGGAGCCCCAGGAACCCGTATGACCTCCACTGTCAGCATCAACATCTCCACTCCAAGCTTCTACAGCCCCCAGAAGAAATTTGCACCGGTTGTTGCTCCCAAGCCCAAAGTAAACCCCTTCAAGGCAGGTGGAACCACTCCTGAAAATGCTGCCGAGCAGACACTGCCTCCCCCTCCTCCTCCCCCTCCTGGGGCATGTGCCCAGATAGGGAAGGTGGGAGAGATCCCAATAGCTTCAGGACTCCCCCTTGAAGGTAAGTCTCTAAGCTTCTCTTGCATTCATTTTGGAAGTGTTCTCACATAGAGGTATGTAGAAAAGATACCTCTGAGGGGAGAACGCTTCTAAAAATTATAGCTAGTTCCTTGGGAAGGGCCTGTTTTGTGTAGAATCAAGCTGGAATTATTCCGTCTGTTTGATGTGGTTTCCCCTAAGTGATGGAAGAGGAAGTCATCTCAGGGAAGCGAGAGTTAAGGTCTGTCTTTTCCGCTGTGTCTGCCTGAACCTTCTGGAATGCCATGTGGTTCAAAAGAGCAACTTTAGATTTGTAGAAGGAGCAGTTGGTTTGCATAAAATTACTGCCTTGCTGGGAAGCCGTGCTAGAGTGTTAATGTGGAATTTAACAGGTGGCCTTGGCTAAGCTTGAGCATACCAGGGGTGAAAGTGATTAGTAATGAAACTGGGATGTGTTGTTTAGTGGTGATTCAGCAGAACCACTTATGTTTGAGAACCGCTTTTGGACTCTGCTTTTAACATGTTGGCAAGGAATGTGGGAGCCATGCTGGATTTCTTTAAAAAGGGAGAGATGGCGAGGCTAAGGGCCTGTGTGTGGGAGGCTTGGCCTCCGCCCTGGAAGGAATCCCAGTTCTTCAGTGGTGGAGTGAAAGGCTCTCTCCATGTGCTCAGAAGTATTTAGTTATTGCTTATTGTGTTGCTCCATGAGAACAGCTGTGTGAGTCTGTTCAGGCAAAAACAAAACAAAAAGCAAAGCATGTTGTGGTACCTTTGCCAAGTATTACTTGACATAAGATTTTCTGGATTTCAGCCCACTTCATCAAATGGCTATCGGTACCGGGTATCTGGTGAAGTATAGTACAGCTTATGTCAAATTAAACTTGTTGCCTTTAAGGTGTCACAATGCTCTTTGTTGTGCTTCTTTAATGTATGTTTGCAAGAGCTGGTAGACATGCACATACAGTGGTGCCTCGCTTAACGAGCGCCTCGCTGAGCGATGAAATCACTTAACGAGGGGCTCTGGGCCCTCGCTGGAGCATTCGCTCAGCGAAGGCCCCTATGGCGTTTTTTCGTTTTGCGATATTCGCTAAGCGATTCGCTTAGCGAATATCGCATAACGAAGCGGGGGAGAACAGCTGATCGGCGGTTCCAAAATGGCCGCCGGAAGGTCCGCGCCGCATTTTCGCGCCCTGCCCTCGCTTACTGAGGGCGCGAAAATGGCGGCGCTATGGAGGAACATCGCTTAACGGTGAGTTTTAAAGCCATAGGAACACATTGAACGAAGTCCAATGCGTTTCTATGGCTTTTTAAATTCTGTTTAGCGATGTTTCGCTATAGCGAAGGTTAATCCGGAACGGATTAACCTCACTATGCGAGGCACCACTGTACTTTGATTTACCTTTTTGTTTACCCTTCCGAGTCCCCATTTCTGGTATGCATGTTTCTATCCCACACAATGTTTTTCAAGGTCGCATTCGCTTGACTTCCTACTTTTTCTTTCTCCCTCCCCACTTAGGGTTTTCCCCTCTTTTTGCCAGAGGGCTTGGTGGGCTTTAAAGATGGCCTTCAACTGGAGACTCTTCTTCTTTCTTCAGTTCAAAAGCTTCCTAGAAATTGAGCTCCCTTGGTTCTGTCTCATACACTTGGCAGCAACTCACTGTGTCCTTGACTTTCACAGCAGTTCTACCATAATGTTACAGTTCTTTTTTCTCAAGATAGAAAGAGGAAGTGGTAAACCTGTGTCGGGGGGGGGGGAAGCTTTGTATCTCCATCCACCCAATTACAGGAAGAGCATTTTGGGGGTGCTGTAGCAATGTGAAGAAAACAGATTTAATCTTACATTAGCCTGAACTAACACTGGAATGAAAAATGATTAGCTTACAGTAGAAAGAATTAGGAGATCATGAGTCATTTAACACATAATTTTGTCACATAATGTGACAAAAGGTATATCTTTACCATTTTAACAGATATTAAAATGGGTTCCTTCATTAGTTACTAATACTATCTTTCTGTATTACTTTAGCCACAAATTCAGACTAGCTTGTTCTTGCTCTGCACTCATAGGAGCCCAGAGTTTAGTTGTGCATGCTTGCAAAGTCCAGAATAGGTTATGTGGATGTGCTCGGTAAGCTTCACCAGTAGCTTAACCTTCCTTAGTAAGTAGGCTGTTGCCATCTACTAGGAATGCAACCTCAATGCTAAGCCATTCATTTGATGCTAAGCTATTTTGTGTGTCTCTTGTCATTATCTCCAAACTTGTTATCTCCAGCCCTTGCATTTTCTGTGGGAGAACAGGTGTCTGGATTCTTGTAGGAGTGCCAAGAAGAGCCTGACTCGGAATGAGGAATCCAGCCAAAATGTTGTGCCACTAGGTGACTGCATTGCCTTAAGAGTGTTGCTTGATTCTATAAACGGTGAAGAATTTGTCCATGAGGTGCACTTACCATTATCTCTTGCATTTCATGGTACTCTGGCTTCACTGCTTAATGAGCTTTTAAAAAAAATTCTGCTTGCATGCTGTCTGTTTGGTACCGTGTGAGTTGATCTGCCCTTCAAGCGACCATTGTATCACAATCAATCTGGATCTTTAAGGTGCCACAAATCCTTGGTGACTACAGAGAAAGAAAGCTGCCCCTTTGGCATTCTTACCTGTTTGTGTCTGAAGTATACTTTTCTGGATTTTCTGTTTCCTGTTCTCACCAAAGGAACTGTGTGACTGTTGTGTGTAGATAAGTAATTTTGGATCAATATGTAGCAATATTAGTGGTAGCTTTTGGAAAGCACAGGACATTTTAGCTAAAATGTACCCTCAGCAGAAGGTTGTATCTTGGCAAAAAAATCACTATGACAGAAGGATCTTATTTGTATCTTGATCACTTCAGACCAAAGAAAAACGAAACAGAACTGGTGCCCTGCAATGGATTGAGGCCCAGGAAATAGCCATGCCGAGGACTGCCAACTTCTTAGGTGTGTGGGAGTGATAACTGGCATGAAGTTAACATCTAGAGCTTAGCTGTACATCTCTCAGCAACTGTGGCTTCGTGCAGTGTTGGGCCCTGCCTGTGAGACATCGTCCTTCTCTTGTGGGAAGCAGGCATTGTGTCTCATCCATAAAGAAACAAACAGATGCATGTGTAGGTTGTCAGCAAGAACAGCAGTGTTTGTGCAGGATGTGCCCTTTTGTAAAGGCCTTCAGGAGGGCTACAGAAGCAAAGAAGCAAGAAGTGGAAGTCATGGGTGCTTCTAACAAGTGAAAGAAGTGAAACAGAGGGCAGAAAGGGTTTCTAACCTATCTTGCTGCTTCCCCCCAAGGGGTGTGTTGTGCCCATTGTTTACTGTTAGGTGCATATATTGCTATCAAGACCTTTTTTTGATTTATTGTTATTTCTGCCGTTAAGATTCTCCCTTCTTCATCAGGATAGACATGTTTAGAGTTTAACTTTTTTTCCACATATAAAGCTACTCCTCTTTTTTTTTGTTGTGTGGCTGAGTAGTAGAGTTTCCCAATCTTCAGGTGAATCAGATATTTGTAATGCTGCTTTTAATGTGTTTTTCTTGAAGACAGATTTAGTTTTTTGTAGTTTTGAAAAAACATGATTTCTTTTTCTTGGTGCATTCAAACCATTAATATTCACTGAGAAGATCCCAGTTTCATTCTCCATCTTGTTTACTTGTACAGTTGTGCCCCGCTTTATGACTGTCCCGCATTACGACGAAACCACGATCGCAAAACGATGGTCCTGAATAGGCTTTTTTCGCTTTGCAATGATCGGTTCCCTGCTTCGGGAACCGATTCTACGCAAAATGACAATTGCCCTAGAGCTGATTGGCAGTTTCAAAATGGCCGCCAGGTAAATAAAATGGCTTCCTGCTGTTTTCTGGGACAGATTCCTTGAAAGACAGCCACCGAAAATGGCCACCCTGTGGAGGATCTTCTCTGGACTGTGAGTTTTTAGCCCACTGGAACACATTAAATGGGTTTTAATGCATTTCAATGGGTTTTTTATTTTCACATTACGACATTTTCGTTCTACAGCGATTTCACTGGAACGAATTAATGTTGTAATGTGAGGCACCACTGTATTTAGGTTTTATTGCCCCAGTATTCCTTTTTTCTCTTTCTGTTTTGTTCAAATCTTGTTTAGTATCCTTTTTCTGACTCTCTTCTTCACTTAGCTCACTCTCCTCTTCTGGTGTTTTCTCTCTCTGTTTTCTACTTTTTTCTTCATTTATATCTTGTCCCTGTGCTGCTTCTTCAAAGAAGGTTATATGTCTTTCAAGGAATTCTCTTGCTTTTTGGATGGAGTCAAGTCTGTATCTTCTTGAGTTCTAATTGACCAGGATCCCTTCAGGTACCAGCCATCTGAAATTCACTCCTTTTCTAATCAGTTTAGTGGTCAAAATTGATACTGTTTCCTCCCCTCTCTTATTTTGCAAGGTATCTGTTTCAATACCACATGTATTGTGCCCATTGTGATTGGTAGACTGGAAGGCATAGCAGCCAATGATAAGTGGGACTGGGTTGACGGACAGAGCCAAGGACTAAAGAGGATATTCATAATACGGGGGGGGGGAGGCAGACTAAGCAGGCATTCATTTAGAGACACTGATCATTCCTTCCTGACCCACTCCCACCCCAGTTAGTTTCACAACTCATCTAAGAAGCAGAAAAACACACCTCTGCCCCATTAGAAATGTTCATACCTGCTGCTGCTTCCCCCTTTGTCTGGTTTCCAAGTGAGGCAACTGCTTTATTGACTTACATTTTGATATTGAGCTTCAGACCAGTTTAGGCGCTCTCCTCTTGCATCCTCATTGAGAGGTTCTTTAATTCTTCCTCACTTTCTGCCATCAGAGTGGTATCATCTGCATATCGGAGGTTGTTGATATTTCTTCCGGCAATCTTAATTCCAGTTTGGGATTCATCCAAGCTTTTCTCATGATGCATTCTGCAAATAAGTTAAATAAGCAGGGAGACAATATACAATAACTGTAGTACCTTCAGTTTAACTCACTCAATCTTTGCACTAGTTTTCAGTTCCATTTCAAGTTGAGAAATCTCTGATTCAGTACAACTAGTTGGACATCCTGTTTCACTGAAGGATGGACATGAGTCTACAGGCAATTTACCATGTTTTGTCTTGATTGCTTATATTTGTGGCTAATTGAGAAGCAAGAGCTTTTGTGAAATAAAAATAAGATGGAACAGTGTGTTATTTTTTTTTAGTCTATTGAAGATGAATACACTACCTATACGTCCGGTTCAGACCAACTCAGAAGCCAACTGAATTGTGAACAGGAAAAGGTTGTCATCCATTATTTTTCAGTTGCTTCTCCTTCAACTGCCCTGGGCAATTGAACACTAGGGCTGGCCAGTGCTTGTCTCAGGAGAAGTATAACATAGAATTTCATATCCTGTACTAGTTCATCTAATATGATTGATTGCAGTATAACAGCCTGGATTATAATGGATAAATATGTATATAGGTGTGGAAAAATTTCTATGGAAAAAAAATAACATAGAAAAATATAAGGAAAATTTTTTTCCACCCCACCTTTCTGGAATGCTGCAACTCTGCTTTTCTGTATGCAGTCCCTTGGAAAGGAGCGGTCTTCCCTGAGCTTATATTCCCCTTTCCCCCACCCCCACTCCCATCTGGAAGTGATTTTCAAGGAGGGGAAAGGATGTGAAGATAAGATTCTTGCAGATAGCTGGGTTGGGCTGTGAACTCTTGAGTTGCTAAACAAGCCTTGCCTTGCTCAGCTGCAAAGTGAAAATTGTAGCCAAGTTGCTCTTGTGAAACCTGAACCTTTGTGAAGCCTCTTGAGTCTTTGGAAGGCGCTTGCTGTGGTTTTTAGAGACTCGTTTTACCAAAACAAGGAGTGTCTCCTAGCAAAGTGGAACGTGAGGTTTCTTGGAATCCATCGTGATTTTGTATCTCTGAAAAAGCTGGGCACTTGTCAAGGACAGGGCAGTCAGTCCTATGTTCTTTGATCATGAGTAGCTTGTCCGGCTGTTGGGTGATAAAAGAGGTTGCCAGCATGTAACACCAAGAGCAAACATTTCACCATCACAGATTAAACACAGCTGGAAAACTTTCATTGGGTTTGATTTGTGGACAGTGTTAAGTTTCGTATGTGAGCAGGAATTTAATATGCATGGGGGGGAAAAATCAAGAAGCATTACTTTGATGCCTTCCCAAAAAGGAAGAGGTCTGTAGTTGTTTTGGCATGGAAGTTCAATTCTGCAATCTTCATTTTCTCCTAATGGAGGAAGAGACAGGCAGCTTTTTAGGAGCACAGCCTACCTGTCAGTCTCTTCCCAGATGTTTCCAGTGTAGTCTCCAACCCAGGGACTCCCTCCTACACGTTGCCTGGGCTGCGTTTTCCCATGGGAGCTCAAGCATAGACAAAAGGCATCTTCTCTTTCTCTTTTTGCCTTGGTTCGCCCAGGTAATGGCTGTGTTATACAAAACATGGGAGGCTTCTGCGGAAAGCTTCATTGCTACTGTATGTTTGTGGCAAGGAAGGGGTTAGAGTGCTCTGCTTGCCTGACTCAGAATGGGTCCTCCATTCAGATGTTAATCTAGTCTTTTATTTTCTTTGGTTCAAACCTTTCAAAAAAAAATGTACTGTAGTTGCCTGACCAAGGCCTCAAATGCAGGAGAGATTAGGTAAGAGAGCCTTTTGAACCCACCAGTGGCAGTTGGATAAGAGGGGCACAATTCTGAGAAAGCAGGGAGCCTGGAAATCATCAGAGATATTTGTACTTTGGTATTAAAATAATGGTGGTGGTTTCCTACTGCCAAATTGGAGGTGGTTTCCATGGCTCATGGATAACTTGCACTGATAGATCTCTTGTAAGAAGGTATAGGCCCTTCACAAATCAGCTCCAGTCAATTGAGGCTGGAGCACCGTGTACCGCAGTTGGGACGGGTGAGGCTAGTTTGGCTAATGGAGCCCAGTTAAGTGAAGCAAAACGATCTTTAAGCCATGTGGCTAGAGGGAAAGCCAAACAATAAACTCGTTTATAGCTTATTTGGACTCCCTGCCTACGTGAAGTGAGCTCTGAGGGCCAACCCTTAGGTTCCTCGCTTTCGTTTACAAGTACATTCCGATACATTGGTTCTGTTTACCGGTGACTGTAATTTGTCTTAATCCTTGGCTAGGCAGGGTCACTTTTTTTTGTCCCCAAAGGGCAAAGCTGCTTTTACCTGTCAGGATGGTACAGGAATGTGGCAGGACTTGTTTGGCTATGCTGAAGACTTGTGAACAGGAGAGTGCACTTTAAGAGCATCTGGCCGATTCCTTGGGCTTCAGGTTTAGATTCAGTTGTGAAAAAGCAAGGATTCTTGTAAAAGCATGAGGTACCATTAGCTAAAGTCTCCTTACATATGTTATTGCTCTCCCTCATCCATAGCTGCTCCCACACCACTAGAGGAATGTTTCGAAAATGCTGTGCAATAGGATTGGAATAAAATGTCTTCCCTAAGGAAAATCAGATCTGTAGAAGTGGTTGTTGTGGGTTTTTCGGGCTCTTTGGCCGTGTTCTGAAGGTTGTTCTTCCTGACCTTTCGCCAGTCTCTGTGGCCGGCATCTTCAGAGGACAGGAGCCGGAACTCTGTCCGTGCTCTGTTGCTGTTTGTCGGATAGTATTTACGTCGGGAAGAACAACCTTCAGAACACGGCCAAAGAGCCCGAGAAACCCACAACAACCATTAGATCCCGGCCGTGAAAGCCTTTACGAATACAAATCTGTAGAAGCTTGAATAGAACCTGATTTCAATGAAAATTGTCATGTTCGTGACAGGCTTTGTTAGATACAACTTTCCCCTCTCTTGGACTTCTCTTATTCAGATACGTAGCACTCACAACCCACCAACTGTTTGTAAACGAAACATGCATGGAATGACCAATTGCAATCACTATATACCTCAATTGCAGCCAAGCATTGCTTTAAATAAATCAAAACCTTCCACCTGGTTAAGTGCATATTGTTTCTTTCTGTGTTAAAGGTGCTAAAAAGCTGAACCCAATTTGTAGCCCGGCTGGAAGTTTTCCCAGTGTGTCTTGGAAGATCATAAAATGAAATAAATCTTGAAGGAGATGTCAGCTTGTTGTGTTACTGCATGTACAGGAGTTGTTGTGATGTACTGGAACACCTTGAAGGTGTTGGCTACAGGATAACCTCTCCCAGTCAGGCATCCTTCAGATATGTTGCCCACTAATCCCGTTATCTGCAACCAATACATCCATTGACTAGGCTGGCTGGGCGAGGGATGAGAGTTGTTGCCGATGCATCTAAGGGCTCCAGGTTGGGGAAGATTGCTTTAAAAATGCATATTGTGGAAATAGCTTCCAAGTGCCGATTTCCTCTGCCTGCCATTACCAGATGTTGTGAGACATGTGCTCTCCTCTTCCCTGGGAGAAAATGGATTTCTCTTGATAGGTCATGTCATGATCCAAGATTCCTATAGTGATCTCCTGACTTGGTCCCTATCTCTTGTTGTTCTCTGCAGAGCTTCCCCTGCCACCCCCACCCCCTCCAGGAGAAGAGCTGATGGTTTCCTCCAACAGTGCATTCCCTCCACCACCTCCCCCATTTGAGGAACCATTTCCCCCAGCGCCAGGAGATGTCTTCCCTTCCCCTCCTCCTCCCATGCTGGAGGAAGAGGAACCTCTTGCTCTGAGTGGATTGCCTGCTCCCCAGGTGAGTCTACACCAAATCTTGGTGGTGGTGGTGGTGGTGGTGGGGAGGCATGGTTTTATTGCAAGAGTGGGCTGTTGTTTCCATTATGTTTGTCCTGTGTAGACTCCAATAAGGCTATGCTAAATAGCCTTGGGGCACAAGTCTGTAGAGCAAGCAAGCAGTCAGACCATCTCGTGAATGGAGGTTGACCTTGCTGGGGTTGTCCAAGATTGTGTGTCTTGTGCCCTCTTTATCTTTAATTCAAATTCTGCACCAAGAAATTTGCAAAGCTTTAAATTATGCAAAGATAAAAGCATCTGCATTGCCTGCTTGGAATGTTTGGTGACCTTTGCTTTTACTGTGCTGCACATTTCTGCTTCTGTGCTTTCTTTCTAGAGAGCAATGATAGTGGGTCTCATTCACCTCTTTCTATTATTTATTTATTTAAAATGTTTCTACCCTGACTTTCTCCTTAAAAAGGCCTATTATTTCACTGGCTCTTGGAAAATTTCATTTTAAAAGTACTTAGAATTTTAAGAATCTAGGTAGAGAATACACAGAAGGTGGTTTGCCATTCTCTTCTTCTAGGGGTGTCCTGGAAGTGTGCGGCATACTTGAAGCCACACAGGCTGGATATTCTGGGAGGCAGAGTGGGAAACTGAACTCCCAATCTCTGGTTCCAGAGTCAGATATATAACTCACTGAGATATCCAGCCAGCCCCTAAAAGTAACTACCAGTACCTAAAATTAATTTAATTTTTTTTAAAGTTAAATGTTCAGTTAAATTTTTAAAAATTACGTTTGGGTAACATAATATGTATTAGTTAGATATACATTATTTAATTAATGAAACTTAATTATATCCAGTTTGTCACCGGAAGGAAATAATAGTAGTAAGCTTTGTACTTCTGAATTTTGGATTTCACCCTTGTCTGTCCACTTTGAATAGATTAGTCCATCTTAACAAGATTGTTGGCTAGATGTTCTCCTCTCTCTCTCACACACACACACCCATGGAAATGGAGGTCTCCTGGAAATGGTGAAATGGAACAATGAGCCCTTCTCCATCTCTTCAGCTTGCTCTGTTGCTAAGCCTAGTTGCTTCACTGCCAGACTTCACCGATACACATGTCTGTGGCTGACTTACATAGTCGTTTATAGCCTCAAAGCTTAAGGCTTAGTATCCTCTCTAACATGTAACTTCCTCTCTCCTCCCTGGTGGAAGGGGCAGGGCCGTGGAAAGATGAGCAGCATTGATTTGGAGATTGATTCTTTGTCTTCAATGCTGGATGACATGGAGAAGAATGATCCCTTCAAATCCCGGGTGAGATTTGAATACAAGATGGCCATTCCAAATCCTAGGTTTCATAGAGGTAGTCAATATCGGTCTGGTTATTTCAGACTGAAGATCAGGCATGGGCAGCTTGAGATGTCCCGGGTATGTTTGGTCTGCAATTTTCTGTCAGCCCTGATCGTCATAGGTATTGGTAAGGGATGATGGGGTTTGTGGTCCAATCAAATCTAGAAGACCACACATTGCCCATCCCTACTGCAAGTGAAGGCTGAAATGACTGAAGAATTCTCCAGTGTCTCTGCTGTTAGAAAACAAACATGCTGTGGAGAAGAATAGGCTAGGCCCCTCCTGGAAATACCAGCCTTCTATTTAAAAGGACTCTCTCTCTCTCTCTTTTTAAAAATGATAGGTTATTCAGTTGTGTCAGCTTTGACTCAGAAATGTTGCAGCACCAAGAGTGGTTGATCATCCCTGCACTGAGACATTGGTCTAGGAGATTTTGAGGGGGGGCATTGGATCAGACTTGTGCTTGAATTTGTGACAAGGAATCTGATTTTGTGATGGACTGTTAGACAAACAAACGTTCTAGTTGGTGCTCTCAGCCCTGTGTTAACGATGGACCCTTCTATTAATTTTGCCAAGCACTAAAGGGGATTTTACTGCATGCTGAATGCAGAAGTATCAATGCATGGATGGCTGAAATGATGTACCTCTGCTGTGGCCTCAGATCTCCTCTTTGTTCTCACTGTTCACACTCAAGGGCAGGTTAATCCGATGTATCCTGAACCTGGATGGCAGCAGCTGCTGTTAATGTTAGCCCCTTGTTCTCATCTTGGATGACCATATTTACTCTTGCAGATACCTCCCGGATCTGTGGCTTCTAAAGGCTCCCCAGAAATTATGGCACCACCCGCAGATGTTTCCACTCCTGCGTCTTTTCCCTCCAGTGCTGTCCCCAATCCCAGTGGAAGCTATGTACCTAAACCACAAGGGGAAACGACTCCTGTTCCTCCGCCATGGATGGCCTTGAAGCATCACAGAGACTTGCCATCAGCACAGCAACCAGTGACACCTCCTGCCCCTCCGCCTCCAGCCGTATCAGCCCCTAAATACACCCCTTCTCCCACTGCCGCCGGCCCCAAGTTTGTACCCAAACCAGCTGCTGCTGGAGCTCCTTCAAGCTTTTCAAGACAGGCTGCCCCTGCACAGTCTCGCTTCCCAACTCCAGGTCCGGCTGGGAAGCCGCAGCCTCCCACCTTCACCTATGCACAGCAACGGGAAAAGCCCCAGGTTCAGGAGAAGCCACATCCTGCTGCACAGCCACCTGCCCCACGAGACATGGTAAGGGGCTGAAGGAAAGAGATGTGCAGAGCAGAGCCATCCTGTATTTATATAGGATCTCTTCAGTGAAAATGGGCACCAGAGCTTTCTCAGTAATCTGACGGGTATTCTAAAGGCTACAAAGCTGGCCTTGGGGATGAAAGCACAGCCATTGAAGTTCCTCATTTGCCATGCCAGCTCCAGTGGGAGGCAGGGTGAAACTGCAGGACCTCTTTGGCTGGGACATGGCTTGGCCACCCCATTGCCTTCCCTGCTGGGAGCGGGAAGGAGGAGAGCAAAGCACAGTCTGCTGCGCTTTGAGATCCAGCCGGATCACAGCCTTGCGATTCGGCTGGCTCTGTAAACATGAGGTCAACTCACTTCCCTGCTCGTGTTCCTCACATGGGGAAGGCAAGTATGGGGCGGAGGGCACTTGGCCAGCACTTTGACATCCAGCTGGATTCCTCTCAAAATCAGCCAGCCCTCAAAGTGTTGTTTGAGTGCATACTGTTTTGTTTCCCTTTCTCCTTTCCTCTGCTGGCGGTGGTGGGGTGAGAAAAGCTGGGTCCCTGACCAAAGCATCAGCTGGAAGCACAAGTTAGCAGTCTGGAGGGAGAGCCCATGAACAGGACAAGAGGCATGGCTGTGACTGTGACATCAGAGGTGTGGTCACAGCTCTTACTGGTCATTTGTCAGTGGAATGGGGATCCAGCCTGCAGCCTCAAGCCAGTTCTTTACCTGCCTTAGTGGGATTAATGAGTTGGGGGGAGGTGTCAGTCTTTTTTCAATTTTTTTAAAAAGATGAAGCTCAGCTTCTTGTTAAGGGAGAGGCATTCCCCCCAAAGCTTTGCTATCATTAACAATTTAAGATGACCAACCAGTTGCAAAAGTGTATGGTGCTGCTGTGATTTTTTTTAAAAAAATAGTCATCCAGAACATGAAACTTGAAAAAAAAATTCCAGAGGTAAAATCCAATAGTTGAATCCTTTTCCCCCCACAACAAAATTATGACAACCCCAAAGAAGGACAGGGCCCCTTAAAAGAAAGTGTATTCACCAGTATGACCGTTTAGGTTGTAAACAGGCTTTCAAAAGCATCTGGTTGCTCTAGCTGTAGAACAGGGATCTGTGGGAAGAGATGGAGGCTGAATAATGTGAGAGAACATGGGTGGGCAACAAGAGAAGGGTCTTTCCCCCTTTCTCCTCAATGACTTTAAAGGGATACTAACCCAAATTAAGTCATCTGTAGGGCCTTTTAAAGACATAAGAGGAAACCCGTGTTATACGTGTCTCAGTGACTTGTTGTTTTGTTTGTACAGCGCAATCCTTTATCCCTTGCAAATGCCGGACCAGATCCTCCCAGGGGCACGTCTGCTCTGACCATGAAGGAGGTCGAAGAGCTGGAGTTGCTCACCCAGAAGCTCATGAAGGATATGGATCACCCACCCCACGCGGAAGCATCTACTTCGGGTGTGTCTGTCTCTGTGTGTCCGTATGTGTAAGTGGGCACATGGGTGTGTGTGGGCCCAGTGGGTGGCAAGGTACAGGAATTCAGTCCAAAATTGCCACCTTGTTCTGTCTGCTTTTCTTTACAAAAATCGATGCTTAACGTTTTGCAACTAGACATTTAGGAGGGCTTTTTTCTTGGTCATTTATCTCTCTGTCCAGAAAAGCTTTGTATACTAAATAGCATGGACAAAAGGGAGGCAGACAACTTTGTACCATCCAGATTCTTTGGACTGCAGCTTCTCGGCCAATTTTGATTTTTTAAAAAATCAAACTGAACTGAAATTTGAACTTAAAAAAAAACCTCAAAGCTATCAGTTTTCACCTTTACCACGTTTCAGTTTCACAGATATTGGTATCTTTTGACCAAAAAATGAAACTGAAATGAAATTCTGACCCATTTCTAGGAGGGGCATATGGGAGTTCTAGTCTGAAATACCTGGAGGACACCATGCTGCCTACACCTGTACTACCATGATAGCCAATGTTACATGGGAGGTCCCTATCCGTAGTGCTGGGACTTAAACATTTTTTGTTTCTCTCTCTCCCCCCCCCTCCTGCTACTGAAGAGTTTTGTGGCCTGTGCAACAGGGCCCTGTCCCGGACGCAGCCGGCTGTCCGTGCCCTGGACAAGCTGTTCCATGTGGAGTGTTTCACCTGTTTCAAGTGTGAGAAGCAACTGCAGGGGCAGCAGTTTTACAATGTGGATGAAAAGCCCTTCTGTGAGGAATGCTATGCTGTGAGTAAAATGACAAGGAGGGGTGGAGTGAGGGTGATGGCCATGGCAATTTGTGGGCCCAGGCAGGGCACTGTCGCAGCCTGAGGTCTGGCTTGGAGGCCTTTTATTGCCTTTGCAAGGTGAAGGCCTTTCCCCCACATGGCTCCTTTTCAAACGGTTCTGTAGTGTCTGAAAACGAGAGCCACCTGAGGTGATCATGTGGCTACATCCTGTATTGGTTTGCCCAAAAGCAAGACTTTAATGCCTTGTCAAAGATTTTGTTCCCTTGGCCAACTGCCTGGCAAGAAAAAAAGGGGGGAGTTTCCAGGGTTTGAACATCTAGTTCTCTATCATGTCTTAAAAAGAGAGAATTCAAAGATGCCTTTGTTCATTACCAGGGGAAGAATTTTCATTTAAAAGCGAAAGAAAATACAGGTATTCTTACATTAAGGGAATTCTTAGTTACGAATCCATTTATCCTGTTTAGTTAGTTGGCCAGATGATTTCTTCAAGACAATTATTCAGCTCGGAAGCATGATCCTTTTTGGTACATAATACAATTTTTTGTACATAATACAATTTTTGTGCATAATATATTGCAGAGCACAACCATTAAGCTCTCCATGTTAAAAGACGTGACCAGGTTTTGTTTTGGGTTATCTTGCCCAGTTCTTTTGGTCTCATGACCAGTTGCATGCTGGGTCTTCCTCTCTGACCCTCCCTTTTGTTCTTCAGGGCACCCTAGAGAAGTGCTGTGTGTGTAAGCAGACAATCACAGACAGGATGCTGCGGGCTACAGGCAATTCCTACCACCCCCAGTGTTTCACTTGCGTGGTGTGTCATAAACCCCTTGAGGGGGCGTCGTTCATTGTGGACAAGGCCAACCAGCCACACTGTGTGGATGATTATCATAGGTAGGTTCCCCTTTCTGCTCAGCTTCTGCCTCTGCTCTTGCCCCTTTCTTCAACAGCATCTTTGTCCTTCATAACTGACCGGAATAGCTCTGTGTTCTCTTCAGCTTTTGTCAGCTGAAATGCAGAAACCTCAGCTTTTGATCCCCTTGTAAACTTTTTCCTCTTACATGCTTCCAGAAAATACGCCCCTCGCTGTTCGGTATGCGCTGAGCCCATCATGCCAGAACCTGGGAAGGACGAGACTGTCCGTGTGGTGGCCCTGGAAAAGAATTTCCACATGAAATGCTACAAATGTGAGGTAGGCAAATTCCTGTCTCTCCCTCTATCCCTCAGTGATGTTATCAGCTCCTTGGCATTGATGGTTTCCCCCTCCTTTTTTTCTCTGTCTCCCTCTCCTCTTGTCACCTTTCAGGATTGTGGGAAATCCCTCTCCATTGAAGCAGATGACAATGGCTGTTTCCCTCTGGATGGCCATGTGCTGTGTAGGAAGTGTCACACCACACGTGTCAAAGCTGCTGTCTGAGAAGGACCTTCGTCCAGCATATTCTGTCAGTGTACCCCCCCACACCCACTTCCTGCCCCGCATGAAGAAAGCCATGAGACTGATGTTCTCTGTGTTCTTCTTGTGATGACCCCTCCACCCCACCTCCCTCTTCTCAAAATCATAGTGCATTTCTACCTACAACATGTTATGTCTGGCAATATATTTTCTTTCCTACCCAAGGGTCTCCCTTTCCTTTTTGTTATACTCCCCCTTTCTTAAAACAGGGTCTTCCTGAACTCCTTACTTACTCTGGCCGCTGTATATTATTCTACAGACTGCAGGAAAGTGACTTGTTTTGCTATAACTTCTACAGTTGTCTGTCTTACTAATAAAGTAATCCTGGAAGGGAAAAAAACCCACCCACAAGTCTGAATTTCTTCCAAGCTGCTTTTTTCAATGATGTCCCTACAATGTGGGAGTTTTCCAGTATCCTGTGTTGAGACTAAGAACAAGCGATAGCTCCCTGGAATCTCTGTCCTTTTGCCTACTTGGGGAAAGAATCTTTACTCTTCAGGTTGGTGATATATAGCAATATATATTTACCTATTGTCACTTCTTTTGTCAAGTTTTTGTAGCCATATTAGTCCATTGAAGCATTTCAACATGAAACCTGACAAGGGCTCACTTGCCCGAGCCCTTCTCCTTGACTGTAAGTAAACCTTTCGATCCTGACTTGGGGAATTAGTACTTAACCTTCTGTTTTGTTCTCCAATTTCTGTTCTGCAATGTTTATCCTTTATGGGACTTTGGACGGTTGGTTATACAGTATTGGCTTGGTCATACGACTGCCCATCTGTTGACATGGAGAGCTTCTGGGGGAGAGATAGTGTGACTAAGACCAGCTTTTGACTGATGTTGGGAGAGAGAGAGAGAGAATGAGAGAGAGACCTTCTTTGAAGAGTTTTATTTGCAGCTATTTGTTTAGGCGACTTGTAGGATTTCTTTGGCTCAGTAAGTGAAGCAAAGCCTGAAATTAATTAGGTTGGCATGTTTGACCATCTTGCATATTGTCCTGTCCCAGCCACTGTTTTGCATTCATGTATGTGTGTACTGGATGGATGGATTTACTGTGCTTCTGTGCTGCCTTTCTCTTGAGGAGGTGACTCAGTTGCTTAAAGGTCAATAAAAGAGACAGGAATGAAAACAACACGGAGGATGTGTGTTTGGGGGTAGTATCATGCCTAAATTGTGCACCAATCATCCATTTTCTAATGTCTTGCCTTGAAGCTCATGGGAAGGAAACGAGAAGAGAGGTTATTTCTCAAATATTTACTTTGTATAGTTCATGGCTTAAGAATTATTAAAGATAAGTCACCCACACATCCAATCTACAACTTTCAGTCTGAGTCACTGTTGACATAGGGTGGAGATTCCCTGGTTGTTCACCTAAGTTCATGCTGGTGGCGTGAAATAGTACAGCTGAAGGAATCTCACCCTCAGTGGGAGAAAAAGTTGTTACCTTAGCTTGAGATACCATTTTGATGTGAGAAAATACAGTAGTTACTTCTTAGCTCCCCCACCCGTCCCCTTTCTTTAGGTTATTGATTATGTTCTGCATAGCATTTCGACAGCTGAAGGAATCTCACCCTCAGTGGGATTGATTATGTTCTCCATAGCATTTCATGTCTAAATATTTTTGAGCTGGCGGCCTAGTGGCTCTCCACTCCCTTTTCAAAAGCAGATACCATTATATGACTCTCAATTCCTCCTTATTTTCCCCAGTCTGCCTTTAATAAACTTCTCTTGGCCTGTCAGAACCTCAAATAGTTTTTCAGTTTGAAAACCAGCTGTCTTCCTTTCCAATTTGCTTCACGTACTAGCAGCATTTTACTGTCTTTCAGGGACTCTGAGATGCATGAAGCATGTTGGTTCCAACCTGTTGTGGGTTATGGACTCCGACCCTCTCATACATTACAGGATAGATGAGAAGTTTAAGTGCTGTAGCACATGAACTAGAACCACAATCTTATGGGTGCTGCTCCTCTTACTGGAGGAAGAAATTCAAATCTGTTGGTGACAGAATACTGTTGTGTGAATACAGGTTGGATGGCTTCAGTCAGCAGGAGGAGGAGGGAACTGCAACAAAATAATCACTTTTCTAAAAGAGAAGAGTGAGTGATACCATTATCAGACCACTACAAATTCATAAACAGAGCTAGCTTTCAAATCATAAAGATGGTGTGCAAGGAGCACAGGACTTTCTTTTTCTTTTTCTCTAACAAGGGACTCACTGGCTGAAATATTGCTTAGTGAGGCAGGTATAAAGGCGAAAGGATGTGTAGTTGTTTATGTGCACAGAGGCGAAGGGTAAGTCTTGATGCTGCATGACACATACACAGTAATTGGAACACTGACTGTAAGAAGTATATGGTCAAGTTCAAAAAGAAGAAATGGAACTGTTATCCATTGTAATACTTGGTGTGAATGAGCTAAGGAGGCTTGGGAATAGGGCCAAAGAAGATGCCAAAGAGTACAGGAAGTACAGGACAAATTGTATTAATTTCCTAAGCAAGCCAAATGATGCTCAGCATTTTGTAACAAAGGTACCGTATTTACCATATATATAGAGCGAGACCTGACAGATGTTCGAACTGAATTCAGAAAAGGAAACAGACTGTACAGGAAATGTACATGGGCTACTGAAGCATGCTAAACAGTTTGAGAATTTCATTTATAGCTAATCCATTCCAGTACAGTTTTTCACTGTGTGGATCATGAAAAGCTAGGGACTTTTTCTAAAAGAAACAGGGGCACAAGAACAATTGATTGTCCTGATGCACCATCTCTATTCTGGGCAAGAAGCTGCTGTTAGGAACCAGACATGGAGAAACAGAATGCGCTTTGATAGGCTGTCAGACAAGAGTGCATTTTATCTTTGTGTTCAAGGTATAGGCATAAACATATCATAGAATCCCTAGATTCAGATGAAGGAGAAGTTAAAATTAGTGGTGAGAGCATCACTAAGATATGCAGATGACACCACATTACTTGTAAGAAAACAGTAGAGACTTGAGATGAGCATTTTTCAAAATAAAGTACAGAAGAAGTATTGGAGTTGAATAGGAAGCAAGATAAAAGTAACAACTATGGAAGTACTTCAGCTTTTACGCTGACAATGAAGAAATCAAAATTGTAAATTTTTCCATGTACACTAGTTATCTGTACAAATGGAGACTGCAGCCAAGAAATCAGGAGAAGCCGGAGTCTTGAAAGGGCAGTTAGAAAAGGAACTAGAAAAGATACTGAAGAGTAAGGATGTGTTGCTGGAGAGTAGGGCCAAGATCATCCATGCTATGGTATTTCTATTTACTGTGCACAAATGTGAAAGCTAGACATGAAGAGAGAGATATTGGAGCTTTACAGATGCCATGGACTGGCTGACAAATAAATGGGTTCTAGATAAAACCAAGCCTGAATTCTCATTAGAAGCCAAAATCGTCAAGCAAAGTACTGTACTTGAGGCATGTCATGAAAAGACAAGGCTCGTTGAGAAAAACAACAATACTGGGAAGAATTGAAGGTAGCTGGAAAGGAGGAGGACCCAACATGAGATGGACTGATGCAATAAAGGAAACCATGGCCTTTAGCTTACAAGCCTGGGCAGGGCTGTTTTAGGTAGGACCTTTTAGAAGCCTTTGATTCATAGAGGTTGGGAACAGCTTGACAACATATTACTCAGACAGTTACCTAGACCTTTCTTAAGATAATACTACCCAGTTTCCAGACCTTTTCTGGAGGAGGGACTGAACCAACTGTGTCAGTGTTAGGATGCTGCTCAGATCAACATGCTTATTTTCGACCTCAGTGGATCTCACAACATCTGGGCACCTTATCCATAAAGGGGAAGTTAGACTGCACAGAGGCTTTCATTCTCATCAAAGCTTCATTTTGCCCTTCATGGTAACAGGCTTACAAGAGGCTTTGTATTCTCAGTCTGTAGGCTCATTTGATGTCTCCAATATGGATTCTGACAAAGGATTGTTCTTCCTAGGGTGCTTTACCTCTGGGCTTTCCTCCTTTCTCAGGCATGGCGGAGGGACAGATTAAGCACAGCTGTCTGCCAGTGCCAGTCATTTTATCTCCACTTTAGGAAATATATTTGTTACATTGCAAATAGGTCTCAAGTGGAGGAAAGCTGGCAAATATTTGCCTAGCTTCTAGCCTGTTTGAATGAATTGCTCTTTTGTTCAGTATTGCTCATTCTTTTGGGTGCCAGATGCATGTTTCCTTGAGTTTGAGAGAACTATAACCTAGTTAGCTGTCTTGTACCAGGTTTCTTAGGTGAGACCCTTGCATAAGACAAGTCAAGTCTGTAAGTACAGGTTCATTCTATCCATCTCAGCCAATTCTTCAAACATCTCTGGCTCATCTTACCAGGATCTTCCCGCTTTGCTTTGAGGAGGAAGCTTCTTTAGCATTTTGGTTAGCTTGTTAACCTATGCTTAATTTGGAATCCTTGAACACGGAAGGTTACCACAAGAGTCATGCAGCCATTTCTACGAAATACAGTTTCAAGGAATGTTACGTTCTTTTCAAGGACACATTACCTATATCAGAGGGAAGAGAAAATGTTGGAAGTAAAATTAGTGGAGGTCATCCAGAAAGCAGCAGAACAAAACATGTGCTCCGCAGTAACTTATTGCTCTCCAGTGTGATTTATTGAGACTTCAGTACTAGTAAATTTTCCAGGACTGATCACTGTTACTGTCTTCTTGTGTTGTCCTCCTACTAGGCTTGGCCTTGAAACTTTAGAGAGATGGAACTAGTGTGATAGTAATTCAGGTATTTAATACCAGTGAACTCCATTAAACAAAAAATCCAACAGAAAGCCAAGTCTGTGCTTACCCATCGTAGTGCCTTTATACGGTCTGGATGGCAGTCAGACAGATGCTACGTACAAATGGTTGTAGTTATGCTAATGCTTACCTGAGGCCAGGGAGTACGCCCCAGTGGCCAGAGTGGGATTCAAATCTACATATATGCATAGGAGGGAAATATAAAGCTGTTTTATGTTCTTAAATTATCCCACCTCCCTGTTATAACCCTTGCCAGAGTAGCTCATGCCTTGTGTATAAATGGTAAATATATTTTAGAGGGTCTTTTTTTTTAAATTCAAACTAGGGCTTCCAGTAAGCTGTTGTGTCACGTTTTGCATAACCTTCTCAAAACAATTAATTCCATGCTCCATTATTGGGCTTTGTACATGCACTCTTTGGTAAACTTCATTTTCTGTTTACTTTCTGTCTTTGCTCCCCAGCGGTTTACCAGGAGTGGTGAAAAAGAAAGGCTCCAAAATGGTGCCATACCTTTGGCTCAGCTCTCTAGGGGCACAATGGGCTGTTCCATTGGAAGCTTCACAATTCGGCTTGGTTTTCCTCTGCCTTTTTTTTTTAATGGTCAGAATATTAATAGTTACTTGCAATGCCTACAATGGTGGTTATCACAGTGATAAGTTGCTGTTGAATCGCTGCATGTACTAATTGTCATGTACTAAATTACACAGCTGATGCATGATGAAGAATACAAGCGGGGACTCCTTCTTAACAACACACAGTTCTCCCCCTGTGCTTTATGCAGCTGAATATGTAAGTATGTAAGCAATAGGATTCTGGCCCTTAATAAGCAACTTCATGTAACTTTCTGAAGAATGGAGGATTAATAAGCCAGATGTGGGTGTTCAAACCTTCCCCATTCCTGCCTTCTCCCAAGCTGCTATTATCTGCTGGGGGATTGGGTTGAGAGGGGATGGGGTGCCGTTTGTACCAGACGCTTAGTAGCAGCCTGGAGGAAAGAAGCATTAACAGTCCCTGCCAGCTTGCCTAGCACCTCCTTAATCTTCCAAGCAGCAATGTGGGTTTGCCAATGTACTGTTCACCAATTGACCTTCTGTTCCTGGCAAAAGTATCCCTACTGAGATTTCCTCCTTAATCTTGACTACTGAAGTATTCTTTTTTGGGGGGGAGGGAGGAAGTGAAGTTGCCTGAACTCTGCTGGTGCTAAAGGTTTCTGCCTCAGATCCTTGTTCTTAAGTCCTCCCGTACTCCCCCCTTCCAGTGCCTCTGGCACCCAGCGAGCGTTTCTGTTCTTGGCTTGCCCGTAACTGTTTGAATGGGCGCTGCCTGTATCATGGTTTCTTGACCTTTTCAGCTTTCCCATCCCCTTTCCTTCTGAAGAAGGTATAGTAGGCGGCTAGCATTTAGCTCATTCCTCCGTTAGAGAAAACTCGTTCCGCAGACATCATTTCCCAACATATAAAGGACACCAGTAAATGAAACAGGGAAATGCCACATCCTGTCTGTACCATGAATTTATTTACAAAATCATACATACAACACATGGGAATTTACAGGCCTGGGACTTTGCCTCCCCTGCCCTCTTCCTCTCATGTTAAATACATAAGGCAGGTCCTCACCATGAGGAAGCAAAGCTCCCGGGTGCAAGTGATGCCCTGCTGTAAACAATCGCTTTCCGCCCCATGGAGTAGGAGACAAAGCATACAAACAAAGGAATAAACCAGTGGAAATTATGTGTAATAAAAAGAGGCATGGCCTAATGAGCCAGGACCGAAAGTGGATGTTCTCTCCACCTCCCTTGCCCCACCCACAAAGAACTGTGCAAACAAAATGGAAGACTCTCCTCCTATTCCTCCAGATAAATCTTGGTTTTGCAACGAGTGGGGTGGGAGGGTGGGAGCATCCTTATGGCTTTTACTGGCAGAATAGCTAAACTCTTTGCTCAAGAAAGCAATATAATAGTATAAATTTAGAAGCTATGGACGGAAATGGAAAGAGGCTCATCTGCGAGAGAAGGAGCGCGGGAATGAAAGAACAGTCATGGGTAGACAGCATGGCACGGATCAGACTCTGCTTTTCAAGCACCTGCCAATTTTGCAGTCAAGACAAGGGAGCCTCTTGGATTGCTGCTGCTTGTCCCAGGCGGTCCCGATCCCAGCAGGCGCACTGTCAGATGTAGGGAATGGTTCCATTTGCACAGGCTGCAATGTCTGCCGCCGAGTTCTTTGGTGATTTGTTTTTGCATTTGTTTTTGGCACAGCTTCAGGCTGACAGCACTTCTAACCAGATGGACCCCTGCAGAAGTTGGTGCAAAGTTGGTTCCATCGGTTCCTCTTCTCCTCTCGTTGTGCTGCAGGGCACAGTGCCAAGTCCTGCCCCACAAGGGTTGAGCCTAGCACGGGCTTCATCGTGTGAGACCTATCACTCCTTGAAGCCTTGGATGCTGCACAGAATACGCTTCTGATGTCCAGGAAGAGTTACTCCCATTTGTTTCAAGTCCCTTTGAAGAAATGGAGGAGAAAGATTAGTTAGAGGAGCGGACAAGGCTATTACACATATAAAGCACGTTGGCACTCTCTCTAATAGCCCAAATTCAGTCCCCACTTGCTGGGCCCAGAGGTTCAGCAGAAGCTGCTCTACTTAAGTATGTTCCAAGAAAATTAATCTGATACCAAGAAGAAACTGACTTAAAATTCATCACTTTCTATCTTACAAGTTAAGAGTTGGCAAAGTCATTGCAAGTGGAGAGAGACAACTGTCTTTCAGAGAACTAAATATATTATTACAGACCCCCCCTTCCCAAAAGGTTTTTTACTTGGGAGGGACCTTTAGAAAGCCGAGTTTGTTTTGTTTTAAAGTAATGAACCAGTAAAAAAGACATTCATTTCAGGTACAATCATAGTATATAATCTGTAACCAATTCCAAATATTCTGGACAAACAAAATAACATTTCTGAAACAGTTTTTGACTCACACAAATGTGGTTATATTGATATTATTTTCATTTGGTTTTAATTTCTTCATAACTATTATTTTGGGGGCTGGTGTGGCCACTAGTGGTTCCTGGGAGTAGAAAACAAAAATCCAGACTCTTCAAAGTTTCCCATTTCTATTATTTATTTAGTTTTTTAAAATTCTGTGTTTTTTTTTCTGAAGAGGACCAAAGGCAGCTTACAATACTACTGTAAAACTATATTAAAAGCTAAAAAAAGATAAAATTACAAACTAGTGGATAAAGACAGCTTAAATTTGTTTTTAAAATGCATTAAAAATCCAGGGAGACCTATTTTTAATAACCCTACTTAGGCAGCCAGTTATTGGGGGGGGGGGGGGCAGACTGAAGAGAAAGGACAGCAAAGATGGGGCCAGCCTGGCCTCCTGTGGGAGGGAGTTCCAGAGTCTGGGAGCAGCAACAGAGAAGGCCCTCTCCTGTGAGGTTAACAGGACTAGCAGAAATGCCTCCTTTGGTGATTTTGATTTTAAAACCCAGGCAGCTCATAAAGGGAGACACAGCCTTTCATATAGCTAGTCTCTAGTCTGAATAAATGTGACAGATATGTACTGGGCCTTAATAGAAATATGTGTGTATTGTTTCTATATAATAGACCATATCCTAGTGCTAGTCCCAACGAGAGCAATCCCACTAACTCAGTGGTATTTGCTAAGTGATTATGTTTCTTTCAGCAGTTATTTCAATTGGTCTTTTTCAAGCGGATATGCCCCATTATTTCTTGCATATTTCATTCTTTTTAATGATTCAGGCATGCTCCTAAGCATATGCCTTAAGAAGGAAGTACAGTTTAAATTACTGAGAATTAATTTTGCCTGGATATTTATTTAAAATTTTTATAAATACCTTAAGATTGAAGATTTCAAAGTGATGTTTCACACACAGATAAAGGTACTATATACATGTAGTTCTTAATTAAATACAGTGGTGCCTTGACTTACGAACGCCCTAAGCTACTAATGTTTTGAGTTACGAACAGCTCTGGACACGAAATATTGCTTTGACTTACAAATGAAAAAAAAAATGCCCGTCCATTTTTTTACCTAAGTTCATCTTAAGTTAAAAGAAAAAAAATTCTCCCCCTAGTGGTAGAGCTAATGCTTTGACTTACGAACCATGCCTTGACATAATGACAAAAAACAGCTGGAACGGATTAATTGGTTTTCAATGCATTCCTATGGGAAATGGTGCTTTGACTTATGAACACCATTCCAATATGGATTAAGTTTGTAAGTCAAGGCACCACTGTATACAATATACATACTATTCTTTTAAAAGATGATGAAGCAGAGCCAGACCAGGAAAGTTTATTAAAAATAGGCAAGTCTTCAATATGCATCCAAAAAAAATAGTGTTTGGTGGTTCCTTTCTGGTGCCGGAAGGCTGTTCCACAGAGTGGCTGCCCTTGGATTGAATGTCCTGCTCTGAACAAGAAGCAGATTTCCAGAGCACATGGAATCGCTAGAAGGACTTCAGATATTCACAGGACTGTGCAATAGTAGTTTAATGTTCGTGTGTGTATGTGTGTGTGTGTGTGTGGGATTTATTCTAAACTACTCTTGTCACCTTTTCTTGAACCACAATTCAGTAAGCAGTGAAAATACCTGGAGTCACTTATATTCATCCTGGGAAAAGTTTTCTCTTGTTTGAATATCTGGGCATCACACTGCTGTTTCAGGCATAGAAAGGGCCAGCAAGAAGGTGGCAAGAACAGCTGTGACAGTACTTGCTTGGGCAAGAGCCACAGAAGGGACCACACATTTAAGGATCTCACTGTAAGCTTACCCTTCCAATGTGGCAAGAACAGGAAATTAAAGATTGTTACAAGTTTTTCATCCTGTGCATCTAAAGGCCCTTGCAACTCGATTTTAAATCATGCCCTGGCATTTTATCTGCGGTCTCCATGTTTGCTATTCTCTCCTAAGCTAGCAAAGCAGAATCCCCAAGCTGGGCGGCCCGCACTTACTCAGCAGAAAGCTCCAGGATGGATTCCATGGTGTTCAGGCCAGCAGTGCGGAAGTTGATGATGTAGCGTTTCATGCGGATAGATTCCAACCACTCTGGGATAGACCGATAAGGAATCCCATCGGACCCACTGCAGCTGGGGGGACGGAGGGTCACCCTACAGAACGACAGCTATTATCAGAACAAATATGCCGTTTCAAGTTAACAGTGTGCATGAGGGGACCAGGAAGCCCTTCAAACTAATCAGAGGGAGAGCATTTTGGTGCTTTTTTTGTCTATTGACAATCCATTGCTCTGGCAGGCTGAAGCTACATTTTTTATCTTTTTCTGTCTATTGACAATCCATTGCTCTGGCAGGCTAAAGCTACAATTTTTATCTTTTTCTGCTGGATGAAACTCCATAGGAAATGCGTAAAAAATGTCTCATTTCCACATTATCTAGGAAGGGCTTAAAAAGAAGTGCTATTTCAGGCAAGGTATGGTTCTACAAAACTGCAGGAAAACACAGAGGGTGATAATATATAGAATTCCAGTAGCAGAAAATGAATTAAGTGTAATTACTATAGGCTGTTGGGAGAATTGTTCTTAAGGTGGAGTTCCCACTGCTCCGATCACCCTGTTGAATCACTTACCTAGGATCAAAGTCAGCCACAGTTCGAAGTAAAGGTGGGTTGCAAATAAAGTGCTCCAGCTGAGCATGGATTTCTCTGAAGCGGGGCCTGCGTGCCCGATCGTAAGACCAACACACTTTCATGAGGTCATAAAGGACAGAAGGGCAGTCTACAGGTGGGGGGAGACGGTATCCATCCTCTATGCTTTTCATCACCTGCCCAGGTAAAAGAAAAGAGATCATTGAAGCTATTCCCTAAACATTTTCAAAGGGAAGCTGGAATTCCTGATGAGGCTTCGCTTTCTCAGGCATGTTAAGTCAAAATGCCGGGAATCCTTTGGGACTGGGGCTACACTGTCGTGCTGATAAGTCAGTTTAGAAAAAGGGTGTCATCAACCTGCAATCACTTTCAAGTAAAATTTAAAAATAATTATACACATAGGCGTGAACACTGTACACGATGCCAGCATCTTCACCTGCGTTTGAGAAGGTAAAACACATCCTTTCAGATTATATATCTTGTGACATGAGCGAATCACTGAAAAAAAAACAAACAACCCCCCCCCCCAACGTTTCTTTGTTTCTAGTACCAAATTGGATCCAGCAAAATTTCTGTGGTCAGAAGGTCTCTTGTGATCCGATTCAGCAGAGGTTTTCTGCTGGCTGTACAGCAGAGGAAGAGAGATTTCAGCAGTTTCATCTTCCCTTGATATTGTAACAAAAAAATTTGCTGTTCTGGAGTTTGGGAGACCCTTGAGAAAAGAGAGGGAGAAATGCTTGGGGCTACCAGGGGAGGAAGAGGGAATTGGCAAGTCACGACCCCGCCCTCCGATTCCACCCTTGGACGTGTTGTGAGTGGACCTGTTTGGAAATGTTCATATTAGAATAAAATGCAGACCCAAGTCCAGTGTTGCTCATCCTTTGGAAATATATGAAAATTTAGTTACTGATGAATTGCCCAAAGCTCAGTACTGATTGCTGGCAGATCTTTTAAGTAGGGCTTCCCAACTATGGATATTTCTCTGCAAAATCAGGACCTAGAAGAGGCAACGGTTTGGCTGTGGAAAACCAAAAGCACATATTCTGTGTTTCGAGGCAGATCTATCTTTATTCCCATTCTGGCCTGCTTGACAGCTGTTGGTTTCCCTTCCTTTCTTACCTCCTGATTGGTCATATCCCCATAAGGCTTGTCACCGTATGACAACACTTCCCACATGACAATGCCAAAACTCCAGACATCACTGGCAGAGGTGAAGATACGCTGGGCGATGGCCTCGGGGGCTGTCCATCGGATGGGGATCTTGCCGCCCTATTGAAAGGAAAGCGGTCTCTTTAAATGGAAACGTGGCCCTTACAAACTGTGAGGGTCCTACCCCCCCACTGAAATACAACTCTTCAGTCTTTTTACTGAAATGTAAAATTGTAAAATGACTGTAAAATGATGCGAGCACTTCCAGAAATAGCAGAATAACACTGTTTAGGTGGTGTTTTTTCCCCCCTTAATCCTTGTGGTACTTCTGGAATGAGGATAATCATTTGGGGGGGGGTCACCTGTGCACTTGATACAACAAACCTGCCTCCTCCACCCTGCAGTTTTTTTCCCTTTTAGAGGTATATCAGGGATGAATATATAAAGGGAAAAAAGCAAACATGTTGCTTTCCATTCTGCTCCCTCCCTCCCCAAAAAAGTATGCAGTCAAGAAGCCCACTTGAACTGAAGGGGTTGAATCAGAGTTCACTCTGACAGTGTGTACATCTGTTACCCAAACTGCAAAGCTCAAAGGAATACAGCAGGAGAGAGGCTGCTACCATTTCTTTCTTTAAATTTACTGAATTTATAACCCCATTTTTTTCATGCATAATGCCCCAGGTGAGCAATAATAAAGTATGCAACAAAAGCAGCCAGACAACAAAATCAGTCGTTTTAAGAATAAAAAGCAACAGCAGAAATGAAGCAGTTCTGAGATGATGGGACCAAAGCATGTTTAACTAAAAAACGCCTTTGCCTTTACGACATCATGATGCCTTCAAATGCAGGATGTGATGCTGTGGGCCAAGAAGCTTAGTAGCTGCGCAATACTGACATTGTGAAGTGACTACAGTACTTGGCTTCTGTGGGCTATCCTCAAATGCTGGTGGACTAAACAAAAGTTTCCTGTGTTTTGAGTAAAACCCAGTTTTGTGCCATAACAGTGAAGAAAAGCCAACATTTAGTCCCCAACCTGAGCACAGGAAACCCAGTGGCCTATCAATATTTCCAAGAGGGATATCAAAGTCTTTGTCCCGATTTAAGGGAAGGCTTGCTACATGAAAACATACGGGAACAGGCAGTATGCTTCTCTTGTATATGAAGTATAACTGCCAACAGGAAAACATCAGTTGAAATGAGTCAGCAGACCATTCTCTCACTTCGATTTTTCTACATACTAGAGACCAACATGCTGTTTCCTTACTATGTGATTTAGGTTCTGGAAAGGTACAACTGATGGAAAATACTGAACTGAAACAAACTCTCTTCAGTTCACAGATTTTTCATTTATTCTTGCATAGACTGCCACCGCCAATATTCCCTTCAGCAAGGAGAATCCCGCTTGGCTTGCTTCCACATTACCTTTGTTTCGTATGTTCCTTCTACATCATTTTCCAATATTCGTGAAAGACCAAAATCGGACACTTTGCACTGAAGGCTGTGAGATACCAGAATGTTACGGGCAGCTAAATCCCGGTGTACATAGTTGCGGTCAGAGAGGTAGGTCATCCCGGAGGCGATACCCTGTAGCATGGTCACTAACTGTACTGCGCTGAACTTGTCCATGTTCTCCTGAAATACACGCAAGACACAAAAATGAGCTCAACTGGTTGTTTCATGGCACAAAAAGCCCTCTGGAATTACTGGCCAGAATCCCAGTGGAGTTGTATGTCAAAGAAAGTGAAACTGTGGCAAACAGCCACCATTAACAAGCTGCCCGTAGCATGCATGATGTGACGTGATCAGACACCTTGTTAATTAGCTGCAATGTGCTGCCATTTGACTTCCATGATCTTGTTTACTGTAAAGTAAGATCCCAATGGAATTCTGGGAAATGTCACATGTAAGAGGAGTTAAGTTGTGGCATGCCTTCCCTTAAAAAGGCTTGCATTGCAATCTTATTGGCAACCATCCATTTTTATGTTCCTGGCTTTTTATTGGCACTGATCCATTTTGGCTTTTTAAAGCTGTGTGACACTTTCAGTTCTCATACTGCTGCTGGATCTTTCTTCAGTATTACTTTGCTGTCTTCAACTTGTAAAGGTTTTTGTGTAATTTATATATATATTTTCTGTTGTATGGTTTCATGCTTTACTCTGCTTACCCAAGAAAAGAAGGTCATTCATTCAGAAATATGAACCATCTAAAGGCTTCATCTAAAACAAGCACGCACAATTTGTGGTTTACTGAAACAAGATGAGAGTACTAATATCCACAGACTGTGATCTGCCTGGTAAGTGGCCACTTAGTTTGATCATACCAGACAGATCACAAGGAAGTTTACAGAGTTGCTAGTGGGCACCAAACAAGGCTGATGACATTCAGACATTCAGTGAGGGGGGAAAAAACACCCAGTTTCTTTCCCTCTTAACAGGTGTCATTCTCACTGAGGTATTGAAATCGCCTCTGGGTAGAATCTGTTCAGAGAAGAGTGGGGGCTGATACACATAAACTGTTTTCTATCTTTTAAACAAGCAAACAAACTTGCTGCATTCATAGAATGCTAGCAGAATGGGAGAGGGATATGAGCCTCATTCTTTCCTTGATTCCATTGAGAAAGACTGAATAAGAAAAAGAAGAATGTTCTATCCTATGAACCGCCAAATGCAGTCTGGAGTGGTATAGACAAAGCATGGGTATATCAGCTCAGATAAGACTAGGAAGAAGTAGCTGACAAATTCCTGCAACAAACCAAAGTCCAGTCTCTTACCCGTAAGAAAGTGTCCAGGGCACCATTCTCCATGTATTCTGTGATAATCATCATTGGATTTCCTGGGGGGGGGGAAGGGGGAATAACTTTACTACTTGGTTCTTCAAGTTTCCCTCACCTTCAGTTTGACAGAGGCTTTAACCACCCTCCCTTTTTGGCTCTGTGAACCTGCTGTGCCCATCCATCAAACAGATCCATCCCTCTAGGAACAGTGATACATCTCCTGGCTAAGAGCAGCTCTTCAAGGTCAAAACAAAAGGATCTGCAACCCGAGATCCTCTTAGCAGATATTCTGAATGCAAAGCTTGTGATCTACATCTTTGAGCTGCGGTAGGTTCATCTCCAGGAGCCTCACAATCCTTGGTGATTATTTGCTGCAAGCCTTTCCCAACCCATTCCCCCTATGGATGATTATAGACTATCACAGCATCGCCACTGAGCTCTTACGTTTTGTGACCACGCCTTCCAAGCGGACAATATTGGGGTGATTGAACTGGCCCATGATGGTTGCCTCACGCAGGAAGTTCCACCAGGTTGAATCCGAGTAAGTTGACTTCAATGTCTTGATGGCTACAACAATCCGTTCTTTTCCTGGGAAGCGTAGGGTCCCCCGGTAGACCTCGCCAAACTCTCCTATGGAATATACAAAAGGGGGGGGGTGAAGGTTATATAGAAGAATAGCAAAGTGGCACTCCCCAAGAGAGAAACATTAAGGTCCACTGACACTTACCTTCACCAATAACAGTCTCAATGTTGACAACAGATGGGTCCAGTTCCTTGGTGAATTCTAAGACTCCCTTGCTGGGATCCTCATAGGGCTGGAGGTCTACATAAGGCTTCAACCAGATCTCATCTGCAAATAAGAGCCATCTTTGTAAATGATTTTGTTTTCTATTGAAGGGCAGAATATGTTCATGGCTTCAGAAGCAGAAAAAAAAAATAACTTCCCCATTCTGAATAGATAAGGAAGCAGATGTCCTGGAGGTAAACAGAATCTGCTTTCAAGCAACGATGCACAGGGATGCACGATGTGAAGCTGGGAGAATGGAACGGGAATATCAGACAGACAATTGTGTGTGTGTGGGGGGAAATAGAGCGATGGAGAACTTCCCAACTTCATCCAGTGTTCCACTAGGCATGCTACTCCCACTGCCTGCCTCATTATCAACTTTAATAACCATCAAATACTAATACACTCTGCTTATGCAGGCTGCCCTCCACACTCCTACAAGGGGTATAATGGGCAACTACGTAGCTGACATCAGTAAAGACCTAATTCCTGAAAGTTTCCTTGTGCAGAGTTATACATGCCATCAAGTCAATTCTGACTTATAGTGATCCCTTCCAGAGTTTTCTAGGCACTCAAGAGTACTCAACAGTCCCTTCTTCTGGAGACACTCTGGGATTCTGCAGTTCCCCCAAGGATACCAAGGCTAGCTCCTCCCCTGGAGGTCACAGTGGACCTCCAGGAGAAGAACTCCTAACCTCTGGCTCTACAGTCAGGGAGCTAACTCACTAAGCTATCCAGCCAAAGGTATACAACAGCAAATCTAAGACTGTTTCAGAAGAGCAAGCACGGCTCCTGGTGGGACTAAAAAGGAGCAGAGAAATGGCAAGGGAGGTGGCACCTCACTTTCCCACGGCCCATTTCAGCATACCAATCCTTATCCACCCATCCCACCTTGCCATCTGCCACCTTTCCAATCTTCACCTGTCTTTGCAAATATTCTTGGGACCAGTGAGGAAAGAGTAGCACCTCTGTGTGTGTGTGTTCAGTCGTTTAGTCGTGTCTGACTCTTCGTGACCCCAGGAATCCCGCTTGTACTTCTGGGAGTTCTCGGTCCACATACTGCTGAAGCCTACCTTGGAGGATTTTGAGCATAACCTTGCTAGCGTGCTAAATGAGTGCAATTGTACGGTAGTTGGAGCATTCTTTGGCACTGCCTTTCTTTGGGATTGGGATGTAGACTGATCTTTTCCAATCCTCTCGCCGCTGTTGAGTTTTCCAAACTTGCTGGCATATTGAATGTAGCACCTTAACAGCATCATCTTTCAAGATTTTAAATAGTTCAACTGGAATGCCATCACCTCCACTGGCCTTGTTGTTAGCCAGGCTTTCTAAGGCCCACTTGACTTCGCTCTCCAGGATGTCTGGCTCAAGGTCAGCAACTACATTGTCTGGGTTGTGTAGCACCTCTATCCCTCTCCAATCATCTTCCTCCCTGATCACTGCACTCAAGTTGCCTTTTGATAGCCCGATATGGTCTTCTGCCTCCTTTGCATGCAAGCCTATTGTAGGGACCTCAGATCACCCAACCTGCTCGTGTGTGTAATTGCTACACCTGACCTCGGGGGTCTCACCTCGGTTGTAGCTGGAGTATTTCTGGCATGGCCGTGCACGACGGTGAGCTTGCCTAGAAGGGACAAGAAAGAGCATCAGGATGAAGCCCACAAACTCTTCTCACCCTACCTTTCGCCAGAGAACTGAACAAAATAGATAAAAATGCCAAGAGGATTTTCCTGCACTGCTTCCACCCTTGAACAAGGGCATATATTTACCTTCGCCGACAAATGAAGACTCCTAGAACCACACTAACAGACACCAGGATTCCAAAGATGATGGCAACAATCACTCCTCCCGAGAGCATCCCAGTATCTGCAAGGACAGAGGACCAGTTAGAGGCATCTTTCTGGCATTAGATTCACCCCACTGGTACACAGAGATAAAGGCACATTTGACTAATTTATGGCAGACCAAGGGGATGTGGCCTCCTGCCACAGATTCTGTGTTGCCCACTTGGCACTGAGTGTAACGTGGAGGCTTCCTTACTGCATAGAACCAAATATCCTGTAATGTATATCTTTCCCATCCTCAGGGGACAGTTCTCTTTCTGAAAGTGTTTTTTGTTGAATTTTTTAAAAGAATGATTTCTAGCTTTGCATTTGCACATATACATTAATGTATATGTAATTGTATTCCGATGGCTGTCCCCATTCATCCTCTTTTTCATGATGTGTAAGTAGTTGGCTAATGAATAACCTTCAGTTCACATCACAGACAGTATGGACTTTCCATTACTGGAGCTCTTGGGAGCCAGATTTTGTTTTATTTTATTTGACTGTTGGATGTGACCTGAACTAGCACAAGCGAACCTCACAATCCTGCTGCCCTATGTGTCTTCATATACCTGTGAGCAGAGCAAGTGTTAAAACCCAACACAATGAGCAGGACAACTCTGGGTGTGCTCTTTCCCTCCAACGTTCAACAGCAAGTTCTTGTTTATGGATTCCTTACCTAGAAGGTCATTAGAAGGACTGTAGGTGATGGGCAGTTATGAAGTGTATGTTCAATATTTAAATGCTAAATGTATCCAAAAGGCTATATTTAGTATTAAAAATAGCTGTGGGACAACCTGCAAGTGGATCGTTTGTCTATATCCCAGTTACACTCTCACCACTGAGTACTATGTGGGCATTTTTTCCAATATACATGTATTTCTTCCAGCCCTTAACATCATTTGCACTATTTTTTCTTTTCTTTTCTTTTCCTTTTAAAGAAACCACAGCTGGCCATTTCCTCTGTTCCTGTTTCTTTAATGTCTCTGATGTCCTTTATTCGTTCTGCCACATAGATGGCGTAAATGGGTCAAAAAGGACTGTCACACTGCAGTAATGCTTCTTCCAGACACTTACACTCGTATATCCCACAGGCCATGCACAAAGTGTGAAAAAGCACAGAAACAATCCTAAATTTGTAGCAGGCAAGCACCGGAACACCGTAGAAATCACAGGTTCACGTCCTCAGGGAGTTCTGGGACATACCTACCCTTTACACACAAGTGAAATAAACTAGTGTAACACCAGCGTAGCAGTCAGAGTAGCTGCAAACATGACTGCTGTGTAAATTGTGAAACAACTCTTAGTCACAAAAGGGAATGTATCTGCATGCATTTTTATTTTTTGCAACACAGATTGAAAATAATTCATTACTCCTTTTATCTAGAACTTGAAACATTATGCTTTAATTAATCAATGCAGACAGAAATGAAGAAACTAATGTGTTGCTCCTGTTGGTGGACCTGAAGGTTCCCCTTGACATTTTAGTCCAGTCGTGTTCGACTCTAGGGGGCGGTGCTCATCCCCGTTTCCAAGCCATAGAGCCAGCGTTTTGTCCGAAGACAATCTTCCGTGGTCACATGGCCAGTGCAACTTAGACACGGAACGCTGTTACCTTCCCACCGAGGTGGTACCTATTTATCTACTTGCATTTTTACATGCTTTCGAACTGCTAGGTTGGCAGGAGCTGGGACAAGCAAAGGGAGCTCACTCTGTCGCGTGGATTCAATCTTATAACTGCTGGTCTTCTGACCCTGCAGCACAGAGGCTTCTGCGGTTTAACCCGCAGCGGCACCACGTCCCCTGGTTGAGGATCTAGTGGTGTTTAATTCACTATGTTATTGTGAATTGGTGTGTTAATTAAACTATGGGAACTATGGGATTTTCAGAGAATGGCTTCTTTGTCACCTTTGCCCCTGTGATGGCACATTTTGCTCAGTTCTGGCTGAACAAAAGCACTCCTCCTGGATTTTTTGTTTTGTTTTGACGTTTCCTTGCTCATCTGATACTGTTTAGTGGCCCTGGACTACAAATCCTACAATCTGATTGACAGATGGGGATGATGGGGTTTGTAAAAGCAACATGTGTGGAAACTATTAGGTCAGGGAAGGTTGTCCTAAAATACTGGCTCTAACAACATGCCCAGCTAAGTTTTGCTCCTGATATCAATCTCCTTCTCCTTCCACCAACGCACGTGCTCTTTGTCATACTACAAACACCGTGGATTGCTTGAAAAGTCTAGAAAAGGCTAAGAAGGAAAGATGTAGTGCCTCCAGTTACAGGTCATGGTCCTCTGTAGCTCTAAACAGTGAAGTGCAGCAACAAATGGCTGCCTTAGAATCATGACACCATGGAGTTGGAAGGGGCCTATAAGGCCACTGAGTCCAACCCCCTGCTCAAGGCAGGAATCCAAATCAAAGCAGATCTGATGGATAACTGTCCAGTTTTCTCTAGAATGCCTCTAGCATAAACCTCTGAGGAGGGGAAATGGGTTAATCAAAGGGATTCTGCACCACTAGACCCTTTCCTCCTTTAACTCCTCACGCACTTGGAATGAAGAAGCATGGTCTACAAAGATTGTCACTAGAGCACCCCTTTTGCATGCAGGAGCCACAGGGGACCCAGATTTAGGGACTGACACCTCCAGTTTCCAACAATGTCCGAGCTCTCTTACTATCTTCCTCCTCTTCAGGCCTCCCTCTGCAGTGAACGAAGCATGGGGCAAAATCTCTTACTTGATGCAGCACAGATGCTGTTAACATCTTTACTTCTCAAGTTAAAGAAGTATACTGGGGGAAGGGCAAAATAAATTAACATGTAAGAAATAAAATTTAATTATTTGTTTCTGAGCTCTAACAAATGTCTTTAACCAACAAATTAGCTAGTAGTGTCTTGTTGGGTTAAAGGGGGTAACTAATTAGCATACAGGCGATTATATTTAACCATAGTGGACCCTCTACTTAAGGAATTAATCCGTATTGGAATGGTGGCTGCAAGTCGAAAAGTCTGTAAGTCGAATCTCCATTGACCTAAAATGCACTGAAAACCAATTAATCCCATAACCAGTGGTTTTTATTCTATTTTTATTCCATTTTGGTTTTTTTCTGGTCTGTAAGTCGATTCTCTGGCTGCAAGTCGAATCTAAATTTTGCAGCCAGAGAAGTCTGTAACTCGAAAAGCCTGTAAGTCGAGCCGTCTGTAAGTCGAGGGTCCACTGCAGTTAACTCCAAGCTGTGCTTTTACTATGGAAACCATTTGTGATTTATTTATGTCATGTCATTTTCATATTGCCCATCAGCAAAATCCCCCGTACTTTGGGTTACCAATTTAACAAGACTGTTATATCAGCCTATTCTTCTTAAGGACAGTGTGCAGAGCACAAAAATTCCTGCAAAAGGCAATTCAGTAATAAATGGAATGATATTCCCTCTGAACATTCCATGGAGTTGGGAAGGATGTAGGGGGTACAATAAGATGACATAACAAAACATGGGAACCATAAAATCCAGCAACCCCTGCTGGGACGATATGCTTGAGACATAATTAGAAGCAACTGGAATTCCAGTATGTAATGCCCCTGCCTTCATCCTTACATTCAGAAATAGGGCAATTCCAGCCTGTGGTCTGGATGTAACCCACAAGAGTTCTCTGTCCAGGCTGCCGAAATCCTTTGACAAGCTCTGCCCCCTTGCCACTGCCACAGTGAATGGTGGTATACTGGTGAACGGTATACTGCACACTATTCTTTGCCCCAAGTAATGAGAAGGGGCCTGCCTGTATAGTGGATAGGGAAAATTTGACCTGCAAGCCTTTACCAATGCAGTATAAATTCTATTTTCTCATCTTCACAGATCTTTTACTAGGAAGAGCAATACATAGTAAATTTTACTAGACATGCACAGATCAGCTGAGAAGGTGGGGGCTGGAAGGATGTGCACGCACATGAATGAATATTGAGGGGTGTGAAAAGTTTGTCCGTTCTCAAAGGCGATTCCTGGATCAAGCCATGGAAGGAGGATCTTCCTCTTAACATTTTAAGAGAGCAACCTTCTGTTCTAGTCTTGTGTGTCCCCTACCCCCTATTTTTAGCTGGCTCCTTCCTTCTAAAATCTGCTCAAAGCACAGCAGTCAAATCATTCTCAGCCCTCTCTAAAACAAAATATAGAAAGATGGTCCGAAACACATTTATGACTCCTTTGGACATAGATCTGTACCAGTTCTTTGAAATTCTCACAGAGGAAAGCAATTGACTGCAGATGTGCATCTCTGTAATACAGAAATGTAAGATACAAGAAAGAGGCTCTGGTTAACACCCCAGGGGCACTGCAAGATATGAAGTACAGATTCACGTCTGGCCCTTCTGCTGTTACATTCTGACATTCCTCAGCTCAGCAGCCTGTTCTGTATTCTTCCCGCTATCTGGAAGCACAGAAATGGATGCAAAGGAAGTCCGATGGGAAGGCCAGTCATTTTGTCTCTACCTGGTATGCTCAGAAGACATCCGCCTTGTCTACTGCCTTGTCTTTATACACCACAAAGAACAACGTCATTGTTTGTCAAATAAAATTTCATACCAAAATAGCTCTAGAACTGCGGGAATATTTTAATTATCTTCCACTAAACGAGCCAATCATGAAAAACATATTTACCATTCTCTGTTTAGCTTTAAAAATAGCTTAAGTCCTCCCCCTTGAATAGTGTGTGATCTGATGCATACATTAACCCCCGGCACAAATGGGTATCTCTGCCTCCTGCTACGGAGAGGAAAGCTCTACACCCACAGTCCTTTGCAGATACCGTATTGCCTTCTTCGCTGCTGCGAATGGGGAATTTCCAGACTTACAGATTCCTAGCAGAGCTTCCACAACCACAAGTAATTGCTGGATTAGGGAAGCTAATTCATCCTAGGTAATCGGCCTCCAAGCATTATTATTCACACTGGTGCTTCAGATGTTCCTTTTAGCAAAGAACTGAGGCACCAGGAACATTCTAAGCTAATTTTAAAATATAGCAGCTAGTCTTTAAGGTGCCACAATGTTAAACGGTGCCTTTTCCCCTGCACCCTTTCTGTGGAAAAACTGCTTCTTCCGCTCCTATTTGATTCAGGAAGGAAAAACACATTGGTATAGGTATGTTCCCTCTGTTGTTGGAAACATCAAGTTCAGAAAAGGGGAAGTTTTTAATTCGGAAATTATATCCCTTCTTCCCCATGAGAAAATGCAAGGTGGGAAACCACAAAAAAGCGCCACGGCTGGCACAGGAGTTCCCATTGGGTTGGTCCCTCCAGTCCCCTGGCAAGAATCCCTCTTCTTCAAAGCAGGCGGGAGAACCAAGACCACCTACCTTGTGGAAGAGTGCGGAATTCCTGCTCCTGGGAAAACTGCCCGTCCCCTACTGGCGTGATGGAGCGGACACGCAGCAGGTAGGCCGTGTCGGGCTGCAGATTGGCCAGCGTCACTTTGGGCTCCTGAAGATGCTGGACTGTGTAGTGTTTCTCTTCCCCCTATAAAAAGGATCAAAAGAATCAAAAGGTCTTCTAGGATTTGAACAACGCAGGGAAGGGGGCCGTGGGGGGGGGGAGAGAACAGTTTGGAGAATAGGCAGGTGGAAAGAAGAAGAAGAAGATCACACCTCACCTTCTCAAAGTACATGACCTCGTAGGTGATAGGGATGTGGCTGCGGTGCCGCGGTGGTAGCCAACTCACAGATAGGCTGCTTTCGTTCTGCCGATCCAGGATGAGATTAGTCACCATGATTGGGGCTAGACATAACGAAAGGGAAAGGGTCAATGCTTGACGTCCCTTCTGGAGCTAGACGACAATCCATTCAGGATGCATATTACCCCCAGAAAGCCTGTAGGGGTCATTGTTTCTCTTGACTCTTTGCTGATTGCTCCCTCCTGGCTTAATCCTTTCTTTTAAAAATCCTACATAGAGGAGGTGCTGCCCTGAGACAAAGTGAAGCGATTACCCGCAAATGGAAGAGATTCTGGATGCCCCAAGGGCAGTCGAGTAGAGGACCCGAAGATTTTAGCCACAGGGGATAAGACCCAATCCGTCAGCATTCATTTCCTCCCCTTTAACTTCCTCCCCTTTCTGTTCCCAAAACAAAACAAAAAACCAAATGAAGCCGAAACAAGGGGGCACCATTTGCTGAAGGCTTTGAGGCATGATGCAGTTCCCATGTCTCTTATGTAGCTACTTCTCCAGGGATGCTGTACGTGATGTACTGGAGCAATAATTAAGACCCCAGATTTTTAGGGACAGGAGTAAAAAGTATCCGACTACATCATGAAGGGACAGAGGATGGGCAACGTGTGGAGCCATGCCAGCTGAAGCCATGGAGACCTAAAGACTGAGCACAGCCTTGCCAAGGAACAACAGCCAGGGGAGGGAGAACTGTTAACACAGGGGTGCAACCCTGCCTTGGGGAAATAGGTTTACGGAAAAGATAAGGACTTTAGTCATGACTCTAGTGTCTCGGCTTGGTTAGTTAACATCAAAAGGAACCATTCCACGGACAATTATTTCCAAACTCTGACCTACCTACAGATCTGCAGGGCTTTTGCCCAATTAAGATTTCAGGCGAACTAAGGTCTGCTTGTTTAGAAAGGGGGTGTGTGTGGTGGTTTGCGCGTTATCAGAATGAATCGGTGTTTATGACTGTGGTCAAATTTAAGATATTGTACAGTCCTTTCTGAGCAGCCCTTTGTAGACACAGAAACAAAAATGAAATTCCTTTCTTGTCTTATTGCTCTATAGACTAGAGATGGGCATGAATCAGAAAAAGGGTGATTTGCTTTGATTCGTGATTAGCCAAGGCTGACGAATCAACTCCCAGAACCTGCTGTTCAAGTACAGATGACGCATTCTGGGAGTTAAAACCTGCCCCCCCCAAAAAGAGGAATGTATCCAATCTTTGTTCCTATACCTTACAAATAGAGATGGGGATTCCTATTCATAGACAAATAGGAAGCCCACCTGCACTGGTGGCTGACCTGATGACCTCCCACCCCCAGAACCTGCCGGTCTGCTTCCAGTGTGGCGTGTGTGACCGGTGTCACCATCATCACCATCGTCACCATCACCAGTTGCAGCAGCAGCAGTCCAGCGGCTGGAGCTCCATCTCCCTGCTCACCCGGCCACGCTAGCAAGGGGGCAGGAGGACGAGTCTCCCTGCTCAGTCACGGACTGGCAGGGCAAGCAAGGAGATGGGGCTGCAGCCACTGGGCTACTGCTGTAACCGGGACACACACTGACGCTGATACGAAATACAGTTCAAGAACAACTGCAGCCTCTCATACCCTCAGGTTGGAAAGGTCCCTTCCCCGGATTCACGACAGCGACTCACCTGCGGGACCCACAGCCACCCAGACAGGAGAGCTGGTGCTCTTGCGTAAAGCAGGGCTCAGCGCGGACACACCGTTATGAGCCTGCACGGTGAAGCTATAATTGGTGTAAGCCTCCAGCCCATCTACAACCACACTGGGCCGAGTGAGGCTGAATGCACTGGGAGAAAAAGTTACGCCACTCTCACAGGCTTCACACACGAGGAAATTGCAGCGCTGGCAGAAGACGTTGTAGGAGAGATCCTTGCGCCCACCCTGATCGATGGGTGGCTGCCACGAGAGGGAGACCTGGCTCCCCACAAGGGAGAAGGTGACATTCTGGGGTGCAGAAGGAGGGCCTAGAAAAGGCAAAGGAGAGAGAGAGAGAGAGAGAGTTAACAGTGTGATCTTGCAAAGAAGCATGCAAGCAAACAAGTAGACAACTTTTTTTTAAAAAAAATGCCAGTCTTCCTATTCAGACAGACATTAAAGCATATATCTTCAATGTTCTCCATTGATTCTTGGGCTATTCTGCTTTTTCTTGCCTTGCTCCTGAGCAAAGATTGCTAAAAGCAATGAACAAAATGTGCTGAATTCATTCCTATGTACATAAAGGACAGTGAGAGCCTTAAGAAGAAGAATGCATGGCAGAGTGTTAAATAAGAGGTTTCTGAGTCTACCATGTGTTAGACTGTACACATAACTGTGCCATGTAATATTTTCAGAGGGAGTGGGGTGGAAAGGTGGCTGTGTTTGTCTGTTGTAACAACAGAAATATAGGGTCAGAATCCAGTCAAGTAAATGATGCCTTTATAAGAATAACTGGCAAGGAGTGACTGCTGGTAATTAAGCTGTTTTTGCTTAATCCTGGGGAATCCCCCAACTCACTTGCAACTTCCCTACAATCAGTCCCACTGCGGGTGAGTCAGGCGAGCCCCGAGAACAAAATGTGAACTCTTTAATTATCAGCAATCTCTCTCTCCTGATGGCAGTGGCATACTAACAGTAATTAAAGATCTCCTGCTCAGATCTCGGGGCTCACCCAACTTGTCCATAATGAGAGTGACTGCAGGCAAATTGCAGGTGAGTCAGAGGAGCCCTGGGACCTAAGGAGGAACTCTTTAAATGCCCATAATGTCCCCCTGCCAGGGATGTCATCCTCCTTATGCAAATATAATTTACTCAACAGGATTTTAGCAGACATTTTGTAGCATGTTAAAGGCTAACAAGTTTCATGTGGCATACATTTTCATGGCCCACCTGTGTATGAAAAATTGCCCAAAGAACTTAAAAAAGGTCAACCAAGTAACACTGGTTTGCTCTCAACATGCCATAATGCTTACTGTTGGTTTTCCAGGTAACAGTCTGATCCATAGGCTTGAAAATACCCTAATAAATAAAATGAGGGAATCAGCAGAACAGAGAAGCTGGTGCAATGTTGCAGCCCTGCCACAAGATTAGTCTATACATGTTAAGCAGACCTTGCAAAGATTCCCTTTTTGACTACATCACTCTCCTAAGCCCTGATTTTAAGGTAGGCACGCATAGATCTTCATCACTCACAGGACCCATTTTTAATCTCTAGAAACAGCATCGCTCAGCGTGGGACTTACGGGAACAGGCAACCGTTTGGTCTTCAGTGGGTGTCCGAAAGAAGCCTTTGAGGCAGGGACAGCTTGTGGCCCCAGGAGAACTGGAGGAGCTGTTTGGGGGGCATTTGAAGCACTGCTCAGCTTCCAGGGTGTGGCGGTAGAAACCTGGCTGACAGGCTGTGGAAAGGAGAAAGAGAATATGAAAACTCCAAAGTCAGTGGCTAACATACGCTCCAGCTTCTGGATCTTGCATACAGAGTAACAACATCTCAAATTTAGGAATAATGTTCTTGAAGAACACAATCGGCCAATACAACATGGTGTACCTTATCTTTTGATTATTAAACTTAAAAGACATTCCTTTTAGATTCACAGAACATTCTGTTTTCAGTTTTCCAGAGCTTCACAGATAAGATCCATTCCTTGCCAGGGAAATCTGTCTCACAATTAAATCTCCCTGGTAGAATTTAGTTACGTATATTAAAAATTACCTTACTGCCAATTGTTTCCCGTCCTCCTCACATCTACATTAACAAAAGCAACACTCCAGTTGTAACTGGTGGCCTCCCATCCTGCTGCTCCTCTGACCAAAAGATGGATTAAATTATTTCCTGCTTTTCTTCCAGAAACAAGACTTAACGTACCTCACAACAACTTTAACTAAAAAGGTACTGGGGAAAAAACAACAACCCCAAATTACATAATTAAGTAACTGTAATGTTAAGATATAAATGGACTTTAAAGCAATTTTCAAAACAGATAATGTTAAAGCCCAATTGAATTAAAAGTAGCTCTAAAAGTGCATGTGCAGAAAAGTACAGCACCCACCCCTTCAAAGTTCCTTTCTCAGCAGTCTGTCAATTGCTGAAAGCTCACATGAATAAAACAAGGAGAGGCGTCAGCATATTCCTCCCCCCCCAACTGAAAAGCAGCTCCATAGCCTGTGACTTAGAACAGTCTGAGATTGAGGCAACCACAAGCCTTCACAATGGAATTTTGAACAGAAAGGAGACTTCTCATTGGTAGAATACTACAGTATGTGGTGTTGTAATACAGGCACCATATTAACTAATAAGTAGAATACTACAGTATGTGGTGTTGTAATGCTGTACAGGCATCATATTAACTGATAACTAAAGTTTCCTATACAGTGGTGCCTCGCTTGATGATGATAATCCGTTCAACCAAAATCGCTGTACAACAAAATCATTGTCAAGCAAAAGTAAAAAAAACCCATTAGAATGCATTAAAAACTGGTTAATGAATTCTAATGGGAAAAATACTTCACGGCCCAGCAACGATGCTCCATAGGGCAGTTATTTTCTGGTGCCTGTAATGCGAGGAATCCATCCTTAACACAGCAGGGAGCCATTTTGCACAGTGGGGAGCCATTTTGAAACCAGACGATCAGCTGTTTTCTGATCATCGTTAAGTGAAAAATCGGTTCCCGAAGCAGGGAACCGATCGTCAAACTTTTTTTCCTATTTAAACATCGCAAAAGTGATTGCAAAATCATTGTCATGAAGCGATTTTGTCGTGGAGTGGGGTAATCGTTAAGCGGGGCACCAGTGTATTGAAACGCAGGTTACAAGCCATGATAGGGATGTATAATCTCCAGGCTTAAAAGGAAGGTACCTCAAAATGCGAGATGCAGGGGAGGGGTATCAGGAGACAAGTATTTGGTTGTCTCTTGTGCTCCCAGAGGCATCTGGTGGGGCCACTGTGAGATACAGGAAGCTGCACTAGATGGGCCCTTGGCCTGATCCAGTAGGGCTCTTCTTATGTTATATATAAGGATGTCATAAATACATAAGCCCATTTTGTCATCCTTCACAATACAGCACAAAGCTGTGAAGCTCTAATGAAAGGATGTGATGAATGCTTGCAAATGTTCCCACCCTTGACTCCCCCAAAAAGGTATCTGACATATCAAGACACCCCACAGAATATTGAGAGATTTTTCACTTCTGCACTTCTTTTGTTAGGAACAATTTTAGAGGATGGGTTGCATAGCAAATTTGTATTTTGTTCACGAAAAACTGATTCTGCAAACAACAACAGGTTTTCTGAGCAAATAACACTTAAATACTTTGCAAAAAGAAGATCCAAAAGATGAAAAAGGTAGATCAAAGCTCTCTTCACCTCACCCAGAAAGGAAAAAGCTTCTGGTATTCTTTATTCTCACCATCCAGAACAAGATATGTGAAGATTTACATCCTTATTTAAGGGTCTACCCGGTAGTGGATACAGATGAGAAAGACGAGGGTGACCAACTCTGTTGGAGGCTATCACCTCAGCTGCGTTTTTTTGAAAAATACAGGACTTGCTTTCATCCCCTGGTAGTTCTAGCCACAGAGACCTAGTTTTGCTTCCATCATATCTCTTCCCCTGCAGAACCCCATCATGGCTTCTGAGACCAATGAGTTTAGGCTATGACACAATTATTAGAACTAACCTTCATATGCTGTAACAACATTCCACCTATATTCTTTAAAAACTCCATGGAGGAAAAATTAGATCCTTAATGCAGTCTTTAAAACAAGCACAAAGCCCAAGAATCTTGTATTTTGTCTCCACCACTAGTATTCCTAGTGGTTCTTCCAAACTCACTCCTATCCGAAGAGCTCTTCAACATGGCCTCTTTTTACTGGGAAACAAGTTTCCTTCTCCTCCCTCAGTCTCCCCTAAATCCCTTGATTTGTTTTTTCAAGTATGAGCCAAGAGCCACTACCAGGGCAGAGTTGCTCTGCAGACACAGAAAGCAAGACTGAAAATTGTTGCGTGGGTGGCACAGGAGGGAGTGCTTGGAGACCTGGGGAAGGAGGCAGGGGTGAAACAAGGAATTCAGGCAAGAGGCGCCATCTGGATGATGTCATCACATGGAGGGAATGGAAGAGAAAGCAGGCAAGACTGTTCCCCACCCCTCCTTTTTTAAAAAGAAATTTGAATGAAATAAGAGACAGCAGGTGGCAGCACCCACTCTAGGAACTCCTGCATGTTTCTAGACGAATATAAATTTATCCTAATGTTTCCTTATAACCTTGAATTACAGTACGTCCATAAACCTAACTAGATGTTCCGGGGTAGACTGAATTATAGAAACCGATATTTTCCTTACGATACTGAATGATCACCAGATTTGCTAAGTGAAACTAAGCATTCTAAGGGAATAAACTATTTCAGAAGAAAGATTTGGTTAAATCCTCCTTTAGAACTAACTAACTACATTCCTATAGATAGGAACTAATATCAGGCAGAGGAATTCTGGACCTCTTCCCAACATGCCAGTTTTCCACGCACAGGTATTTATTTTCTGATGACGTGGACTTGTCCACAAAAGCTCACATTAGAAAATATAAAAGTTAGTCTTTAAAGTGTGACCACGTTTTTATCTTTTTCTACTTTTTGTTTTCTGGATTGATGTGCATTCCATCATTGAAGTCTTTAGCAAGAGATTGAGATCACGAGACATTTTGGACATGATTAGAAGCTGAAATAAGGAAGGTGACAAATCTCACCTGTAGTTCAACTTATCTTTCAATGTCCCCCACCCCCAGTTTCTGGGACTGGTTTATTTTATGACACAAGAGTTAATTACTTCCGTTCAAACAACTAAATTAAGTCACAGCAGTTGAGGCTGATTTCCTTGGAGGAACACATAAATGGCTGGGTGTTGTGTCTATGCTCATTCACCTTGCCCTGAGGTGAAATATGGTTGTTACCAATAAACATCTCTGGTTTGTTCCCCACAGCTAGGGGATAATATGGATTTCCCACAGAATATATCAGTCTTTTTTTCAGCCTGTTGCTCTCCAGATATTTTACATTTCAACTCCTATGGCCTCTTGTCCAGGAGCTGGGAGTTGTGGTTCAGAACTTCTGGAGGGTGCCAGCCTAGGGAAAGCGGGAGTACAGACTTAACAAGGAGCTGCAGCCAGTCGTGGATTCCTCATGAGTCTGCTACACACTCCTGTAAACACATCTTTCTCACATGCATATGTTCACATTTTTACGAGTACGCCAAATGGCACCCAATGCTTAGATGAACAGTGGACATCAGGGAGAACCTTCCAGGCTGAAATGGAATGGTGAACCTCTCCCTTACAGGTTTTTGACTCCAAGCATACATAGAAAACAGTTTCATTTGGTTTGCTGTGACTGCTAGACAACAGAGGCCCATCATATGAGCAGCAGCAGGACCATGCTCCTTCAACCTGAGACAGACAGATAGACAGACAGACAGACAGACAGGCAAGAATCTGGATGCAATCTGGGGAGGGAAAATAGCAGGTAGAAAGACATACACACACCCTTCCCTATGTGGGGGCGGGAGACAGTGGCACCAGCTCAATCACCACCACCTTTCAATTAACTTTAATGAGGGATTGTATGGGCTTATTAAATGTAAGGAAGAAAAGGAAGCTTCCACCCTAACTCACGTTGAGCAGCCGGAAGGAAGTTCCCCGTTAGAGAAGGCAGGCCAGATAGAGCCCTTCTACAGAAGCAACCCCTTTCCCTATTCCCCAGGCAGGGCATACTTGAGGAAAAGAGGAAATATATGCAGAGTACAAGAAACTGATCTGTCAATTGCAGGTCTGAGGATACCTGGTACAGTTATATTCATAAAATTAGGCCAGACTAGACTAAATGTCAAGGGGAACCTTTACCTTTACTTAATCCCCATAAAATTAGGCCAGACTAGACTAAATGTCAAAGGGAACCTTTACCTTTACTTAATCTCTGTCCTGAATGGGAACTCCCCAATGCAGTCTGGTCTGGGCTCAGCTACTAAAGGCTCTGATACAAATATAATGGAGGCATAAATTAACTCGTTCATTTAAGTTCTGTTCCAACGCTCCTGTGGAGCCAGCATGCAGTGGGCCCTACATTCCCTCCAAGCTGCGCAGGCAGTGCTGCAGCCCATTTGGTTTCAGCCAAATGGCCAGAACTTTGCGCACATGGGGTGGGATTTCTGCTGGTGGAAAACTGAATGTAATTAAACAGCAGCAATTTTTGCACCAGCACAGCTGTACAGCTTAGAGAGGGAATGTTGAATGGGCCACCTTTTTTTAAAAAAAAAAATCTGGAGTTCCAGAACTGTAGACCTGAATACATCCATTTCTGGCCCTCCCCCTTACTATGGCTGGGAAGGAGCAAACCTGGAGCTAACAATTAGT